TTAGCCATTGTGCTGTGCTAGACTGGCTCTGAGAGATGCTGGGAGGTTCAGATAGCATAATGAATGTGAAACCACTTTGAAAATTGCTTAGTGCCTGAAAAAAAAAGCTAAGGATTATTATTATTATTATTATTATTACTACTCAGTTCACTGCTTACTCATCTGTGAAATGGGGATAATCATACTCTGGCCTGCCAACTTTAAGAGGATGTTTTGTGGAGTGCCAATGAGATAATGGATGGGGAAACATATAAAAGTTAAAGGCTCTACATGGTAGAAGGGACTGTACAGATTATTTCCATGCCAGTGGCTTCCCAAGGCTCCTATCCTCTACCTCGAGTTTGACATTAATATTGCTGACAGGAGTGGGGGAGGTAGGGGGACATGAGGGACCAAGGGACTCTGCGTCCCAATAATTAAACATGTTGGGACTGAAGCACTGCCAGCGGCAGCATCTGGTTGTAATTACCAGAGGGGACTGAAGTGATTAGTCACCTTTATAGTGAGAGCCAGGTCGGTCCCCTGGGTTTCTCCCTGGAGAGAGCCTTCTCAGCAAGCTCAGAGTCCCCTTTTCCTGCTCCCACCCCATTTCTGGAGTTCCCTGATCCTCAAACAATAGCCCCTGCTCTGAGACTCCTTCATGTCCCCAAAGTCCCAGCCCTGCTCTGAGACTCCCCCATGTCCCCAAAGTCCCAGTGCATTGGATGAGACCTTGACTGAAAGCCAAGAATACCAGAATTGCCCCCAACACTTTTTATTTCTTGTGTTTCTAGAGGCCAGGTTAGGATTCTTGGGTACAAAATGTATCAAAGCAGGAATTAGGCTTAAAAAGTAATTTAACCCTCCTGAACTTCAATTTCTTCACCTGCAAAATGTGGCTACCAGGAGCACCTTCATCACAGGATTATTGTGAAGATAAACAAGGTAAAAATACTGTGGACTACAAAGGCTAGAGTCTAGGGGTGCCTGGGTGGCTCAGTTGTTTAAGCGACCAACTCTTGATCTCAGGTCAGGTCTTGATCTCGGGGTCATGAGTTCAAGCCCCGTGTTGGGCTCCGCACTGGGCATGAAGTCTACTTAAAAAAAAAAAAAAAAAAAAAAAAAAAAAAAAAAAAAAAAAAAAAAAAAAAAGCCTAGAGTCTAGTTTACTTGAGTACCTGCTCAATTAATAGTAGCTATTATTATTTGTCAGGTGCTAAGCTAATCACTTTTTATGATTAATTTAATCGTATCCCCACAAAAACCCTATGAGGTAAGTACTGTAATGATTCTCATTTAGAGTTTCAGAGAGGTTTGGAAGCTTCCAAAAATCGCACAGCGCACTAAGCCATTTTGCAGAACCAGAATTCTAAACCAGGTGTGTTTGCCTCCAGGGCCCTTACTCTTTATCAAACTGTGTACAGGGACATCTTAGTGGTTTGATTCATTCATCCGTTCATTTATTCACTCAATCAAGTTTACAAAGTGCCTAATAAGTAGCAAGATAGAATCCCTCCCTTTAAGGAACTCAGAGTCCAGCAGGGAAGGTGTGATATGTCCACAAGTAACCACACCTGGAAGTAGAAAATTATGGCTTTTGTATATAAGGGCCAGTGGAGATTTATTCATCTATATAACACACACTGAGAATCTGCTATGTACTGAACACTATGCCCAGCACTGGGAATAAGTGAAAGATAAATATGGCACAATCTAATCATAATCTAATGGGGTAGACAGAAATTTAAATTCGTTATTACAGTTGTAAGGAATTAAGTTGTGATTTTAAAAGTAGGAAAAAAGTAAATGGGCACCTGGGTAGCTCAGTCAGTTAAGTGTCTGACTCTTGATTTTGGCTCAAGTCATGATCTCACAGTTTTATGAGTTCAAGCCCCGTGTTGGGCTCTGTGCTGGCCATGGGAGCCTGCTTGGGATTCTCCCTCTCTCTCTGCCCTTCACCCCACTCATGCTCTCTCTATCTCTCTCAAAATAAATAAATAAACTTTAAGAAATGTGCAAAAAGTACATAAATAGAGTAGAAGAAATGAGTTGTGTTCGAGACAGGGGACAGAGGCAGAACTGGGTAACCTCTGAGCCACCAAAGCAGAAAGGAGCACAGAAAATGTGTGATGACAATTCAGGAGCATGTATTTTCTGGTGGATGAGGGAAGGCTTCATGGAGGAGAGGGCACATGAGCTGGCACTTTTCAACAGGTAAGTTTTAGAGGGGAAGAGTTGGAACAGAGAGATCCTGGAGACCTAGAAGCCAGTTATCAGGTAATTATAGTAGGACAGGCGGCGAGGAGAACAGAGATAGTGAGGTAATTGGGGGATGGAGAGGAGGGAGGAGTGTTAAGGATAACTGCTTAAATGGGGACAAGTCAAAGGGGGAGCGAAGTGTTGTGAATCTGGGTAATTAGAGGGATAGTAATGAATCCAGCTCTTCCTGAAAGCTCCCCCAAAGGGGTGATGGTGCCTTGGCCTTCTGAGATGGGGAGGTAGAGCTCTGCTGGGTGTTCTGACCCAGGACCACCTCATGAAGCTTGAAATGGCCAAGTCATGCTGCTGTGCTCTGAAGATCATAGAGGACCTGGGAGCATCACCATGAAAAGGCTGGTCGGGAACCTGCACACCCCAGCCCAGTTTCATCTTTCCTTCATCAAACACTCCATGTGCTTCTACTCTGTGCCAGGTGGTGCTGGGAAACCAATCTGGGTGACCTTACGGTGCAAACAGATCTCCATTAGGCAGGCTCAAAAAATCCCATATTAAGAAGGAGGATTTCCTGGGGCCTCTAGATGGGTCAGTCTGTTAAGCATCTGACTCTTGATTTCAGCTCAGGTAGTGGTCTCACGGTTTGTGAGATTGAGCCAGGAGTCAGGTTCCACATAGGCAGCACGGAGCCTGCTTGGGATTCTCTCTCTCTCTCTGTCTCTCTCTCTCTCTCTGTCTCTCTCTCTGTCTCTCTCTCTCTCTGTCTCTCTCTCTGTCTCTCTCTCTCTCTGTCTCTCTCAAAACGATTAAAAAAAAAAAGAAGCTTTCCTGATTACTACTTCTACACTGCTTCTTACAGCGTGACAAAGTGTTATAGAGAAACATACAGGAAGGGGTAGTTGGCTCTGTCTGGGGATCAGGGAAGGCTTCCCCAAGGAGGTGAATTTTCAGCTGAAGCTTTCAGATTGAGGAGGACCACCTTCAGTTGTGGGAGTTGATATTTCAGGTGAAGGGAACAGCTCTCCCCCATGAGTCCTGCTGGAATTCAGACTTCTCCCAGAGCTACCAAAAAAACATCATGCGGGAAATAATTTTTCCAGTCTCCTGCAGGGGTCGCTGCTGCCCCAGGCTGAGGCTGCCACCTCTCGACTGCCCCAGTTCTTTCCAACAGAACTCAGAGTCTGTCTTTGCTGGGGTAGTAGTGAGGTACACTCTGGACCTGCTTCCATGGAAGGAGTGGGCTCAGGGGTAGCAGTCCCCGCTGAAGCCTGAAGAAATCATCTGAGCTCTGTCAATGGCACTTGGGGGGAGGGGTGTAGTAGGTACAGATATTTTTCTGTCTCTGGGTCACCACAAGTTTATTAAAATAAAAGCAACTGTGGGTAAATGCTGCCATCTGTGCTGCCCCCCCCC